CTCTTCTTCTTGCCTCCTTTGCCGGCGGTCTTGGTCACGGCTTTCTTCGAGCCCTTCTTGGGCGCAGACTTGGCGGGTTCAGGCATGGTTTCTGTCGGAGAGTTCACTGCGACGAAAGTGCAGCTGAGGAGGAGCATACTTTTCTTATACACACTCCATGCTAATGTCACTGTGCTGTAACCTGGCTGTGATTGGCTGAKCCGCTCAGCCGTGAAACAACAGACAAAAGTGCGGAAGTGATCCTTTAATGTTCACTTTATATGTACTTTAATTGAAAACTACACAACATAAAAAACCCTCTGTGTAACAACTAGATAATCCCGAACCAGTGGCAATTTACATTCTCAAAAATTTTAAACCAAAATGTTTATGATTTACATCTGAGGTCCATTGTTTCCCTCCTTTTGAGGTTTGTCACAATGTTCTTAAAAACAGTCACAATCGACCAAAATCAACAACTATAAAAAGGTGTGTGTGTACTGTTAGCACAAAGATCTTATGAACCACTGAATGTAATTCAATCAAACTTTCAGATATTATTAATTGGATGGAAATCTACAACTGCTTGGGATGAGGAGGGTTCAACTCACTGTAAAATCAAAAATTACTAATGACACAGAAATGCAAAATTTAAAATTTTATTCAAAAGTGCAAAAGTAATATGGCAAACAATATAGTAAAATATACAAAAAGGTCAAATGATTATTGGAGAATTTCTTAAGTGGTAACATTACTCAGATGAACATCATATTGATTATATACATTGCACATGATGTATTGTAGTTTTTATGAGGGATGGAAAAGTCCTTGCAACAAATAAAATAAATTTGGAGAATTCGAGACAGTGTGGTTAATGTTTGTCAACAGACAAACAACAGACTTCCTGTCAGAGCTTTAGTACAATGCCCAGTGAGTGTTTGTGATGAAGATGAAACTCTTGTTGAACTTGCCCCAAAATCATACTGAAGTTTCTCTGATGAGCTTTAAACTCTTGACTGAAACTCTTTATATTATTTCTGTCCAGATGGTCACAGATTTCACTTGCAAATAAAGTCTCTTAAGATTTTAGCAGATGAATGGGATTTTAAATACGCTGTATTATTGTTGGCCAGAACTCTTGAATTAAGAGGTTTTAGGTTGATTGATTGATTTTTATTACATATGGCCTTACATTGACAATGTCTGTGTATGATTGTCTTTTTTAATTTGAAATACTTTTCCATTTAATAGTCTTAACAATAAGCAGTGTTCTCAAGTAAATAAGAAAATAGTCTTTAGTGAAGCTGAAGTGGCTCTTAAAAGAGCCGTTGTGGTTGTTGGGGATGAGGGCCGCTTTAAGCTCTCTCTCCACGGA